AACCGACGAAGATAGTCTGGCTTTATAAAAGCACTGGTTAGATCGGATTTTAAGTAGCTCCTATAGTTTATTTTTGATTGGCTATTTTGTAGTTGATCTAGTGGGTCGCGGATCGTTGGATTCCCTTTAATAATCAATTAAGTGATTAGAGTATTCATTTGTTTTAAGCATTGTGTTGTGAATTCTTTTAATATGTCCGAGAAATCTAACCTTATATCGCCTCGCTCGCCAGCAGAACCCGCCTCTCCGGGTTGGTATTTCTATTTTATCATTTTTATTATATTTCGATTATTTCTTACGATCTGCGATATATATTACGCAGAAAAATATTTAAAATAATAAGCAACGTGAAAAAAACCTTTCCAACATAACCTGAATTCGCCTTTTAAAGGGGTATTTGAAAGTATACGGTGTTTCATTTAAACAAAGACAACTTTTTTTGACGACCCTGTATGTAATTGAATGACAATTGAAATAATCAATTGTAGTTAGCGACTTTATGGTTTTGGACGAAATAAATCAGACAAGATATGTTGTAGCGAACATCTTGCAAAATTTAATAAAATAAAGGACTGCCATCCCGAGCATTTAATTAATGCAACCCGTGGCAAAAAAACTTTCAACCGCGACGCCGTTGATTATTTTCTGTGACGCTCTTCGTACCGCGTTTATAAATAAATATATTGCGGATGCGACCGCAATTACCGCACGTACGTAACATCTAGAAAACGCCGAAGTACATATCCATGTGTAATCCTAAATAGCCCATTCATGCGTTCGTTTCTGAACGCTTGAAATTAAAATTAATTTCAGCACGGTGGAAATCCTGTCGGGATCGCTTCTTTTGCGGAGAACAGAGGCGGCGATTGTGTGTAATTATTCTAATCTTATTAAATCGCACACGAAAATGAGCCGGTTAGATTTTCTGCGGCGTTATGAAACAATCGAGGCCGCTATTCGCAACGGATCAAAGCGATCGAACCAAATAATGCGCCGAAATAGACAGAAATACCCGACTAACTTATTTATTTATTTTTAAATTAATCTTTATAGTTTATAGACGTCGTTTCTGGAGTGCCCCAAGGTAGAATACTGGGACCACTGTTGTACAGACTGTTCCATTTAAGATCTCAATAATTACGACACCGAGGAAAAAATTAACTACAAAAAGTGTTTGACGATAAGTATAATTTTATCTATAGTATATGTATGTATACAGGGTGTTCCGTTCTGCCAGGACAGAAACCAACTTTTTAGGTGGAATGCTATAAATATTTTTAAAAATTATAATTATTCGCTTGATTTTGAGTATATCTTGTCATAACAGAGCAAGAAAATTTTGAGTAATTTTTGAGAAAAATGAACATTTCCATTTTTTTTTCGCAAAAACAGGACCTTGGAAAAATGTGTTTTGTTATACTTGAAAACTAAAATGTTCGGAATTTTTATTATGAATCTGTGGAACTGGTTAATGCTTTGATAAGCAAACAATTTTTGTTTAAATTGTTTAAGTTATAGGCCATTTTCAGCAACAATTAATTCTTTTGCACATAGCCCCCATCTTTTGCAATACAAGTAGTATACGAGGTATATTCAAAAAGTAAGGTGACTTTTAAGTTTTATCAAAAAGTGTTTAATTATTTATAAAAATTAATGTTGTCAAAGTAATCACCTCCTTCCATCGTTTTTCCAATTTTTTAAGAACTTCTGGTAAGCACTTTCTGGTATAGGCTTGAGTTCTTCCAGCGATTTTTTCACTTCTTCAATGATTGAAAACCTCTATCCTTTCATGGGTTTCTTGAGTTTTAGGAACAGGAAGAAGAGGGGTCCATATCCGGTGAATATGGTGGCAGGTGCATTATTGTGATGCAAAATTCATGAGTTGTTTCCCACAATTCCGGACGTTTTCTTCGCATTGCTTCTCGCAAACGGCGCATAACTTCAAGGTAACTCTTTATTGAGTGTACGACCATGTAGTAAGATCCCTGGGTATAATTCGCCACGATACTTAAAAGAAAACAGCAAGCCAAACATTGACATTTGATCGAACTTGACATACTTATGACCTTTTTGAGCATACCATGATCAAAATTAAGTAGTTTGGGAACAAATTTTGTAGCTACAAGCTTCATGGCCAAAACTTCTGAAAAAATTGCATGACACGAGCAAATTAAGATTCCGACGTCTTCAGCTTCAGCTTCACTTGTCTAATAGTGATTCGACGATTTTTCAAGACTTGTTGTTTCACTTCTTTAACGCTTTCATCAGTTATTGACATGCTCGGGCTTGCAAAGCTAGGTTTATCATCTGCCATATCGACCATCTTGGAGCAGCTTGTGTCACTTACAAACATTTCTTTTTTTGCTCAAAGTAGATTCACCGTATGGCGTTGTCAACGCACCAGCGCTGTATTCCATTTTGTACACAAAATTTTATGCAACTTCTTTGTTGCATTTTTTTTGGCAGCAGACAATCGCAGAGCACACAAAAGACATCTAATGCTTCTGTCTTACAAAAAAAGTACAAACCGGCCGAAACTGTGAAGATATGTTAGGGCCATGTGTACCAAGATAACAAAAAATACATCGAAGATTGAATCCACGCAGCCCTCCCGATCACAAAAGTCGCCTTACTTTTTGAACATACCTCGTATATGGTTTCACTTTTCGCAATAGCCTTTGTTGCATTGCAAGTCATGTACCTCTTGCCGAATACGCATGTTTAAGTTTTAAACACTATTACACCTATGTATAATTCTCCAATAAATTTAAATCTCTCTCACAATTTAGAACAAAGTCATAAAATACTGGGCCTATTATTCGATCACGTATAATGCCACATCACACATAAATACTTTTCCGATCCTGTTTCTTAATTTACTTTACACAATTTTCATTTGAAATACACCAGTAATGAGTGAAAAAAATATGTTGCAGGATACAACAACCTGTATTCTCTTAGGGGTAATGCTTATTATTTATTATGAAGATCTAAACGTTCTTGAACTGTATAAAAAGCATTTTTTTCTTTTAAAAAAAGTTGGTGACAACTAAATGTCAAATAAAAACTATGTATTTCTGTCCAGAAAACAATTTTATCCGTTCTTTTTCTTCCATAGATATCTTGTAAAAATAAGACGCGATTTGAAATGCTGTTGCGGAAATTGAAACCTACTACGTGTTGATAAAGATAGATAGTCCATAAGTTAAACTGTCTGAGGTAGGTGTTAATGGTCAAAGCTCGGATATACACTTTGCCGCCTCCGGAGTTCCTCAAGGTTCCGATTTAGGACCTTTGTCGGTTATAATTGACATTAATGATGTAACGAACTGTTCTCTGCATGGCAAATTTTGTTTGTATGTTGACGACCTGAAAATTTTCAGAAAATATGCCAAGGTATTCAACGTTTTGGATCGCACTGCACAAATAATGGTCTCTATATAAACATCGAAAAATGCTGTGCCGGGTTACATAACTGCATTCATGACCGACTTCCTAAACATATTCATAGTAGAGAGTATTCAAAACTATACAAATGACGAACTTCATGCGGCTCATTTAAAAATAGCAATTAAGTATTCAATCGCAGTGGAAGTGGAATATAAAAATATTAATATAGTACAAAATAAATTGCAACGGCTATGTATGAAAAATTGTTGAAAACGCTGATGGGCAATTTTTTTTGCATTTTTATATTCATATTTCTCCAGAAAGCAACGACACAACTAAAAAGGGTGTGGGATAAAATGAAAAGGACAAGGAAAGCAAAATCCATTTAAGTAACCTACAAGGTATGATAGTTTTCAAAAATTGAACTTTTTTTAGAGATCGATATTTTATGGGGAATTTTTTATAGTATAATATTTTAGATTATTGGATTTTATTTTTGCCATATTTTTATATCATCGGACATTCTAATCTAAAATTATTTCTATTATACAACCATTTGCATTACCATCAGGCTTTAGCCTTGATTGAAAATATCCCGGTACTACTTCCAGTTGTGATGGCGCAAGAAAAAGAACCCTGTTCAGCTATTATTTCTGGCACCAAAATAATAAAAAAAATTTGCTCAAAGGGAAGAGAGAAATATACATATTTCAAAATTAGCTAAAGCTAACCTGAAATTAATTCAAAATAAGTAAAAATAGATGGACTATCTACACAAAATTAGAATAGAAGAAGTCATTTTCAAAAGAGCGGCTGCCAGGTTGCAGTTGTTGCAGGAAGAATTTAAATTAAAACAGTTGCAAAATGAAAACAACAAAATCTGTTAATCGTCAGGTGTATCATTCAGCATACTCCTCTGAATACGTAAGAGCAACGAAGTAGCGAAGACAGATTGCTTCGGTATAATGTCAGGGAACCTAAATACCATCTACTTCGCCTTATCATTCAGAGTTGGACGTAAAATACCGCCATGGCTGCGACATTTACGCCATTCAAGAGCTATTTACAGCAACTGATCATCAGAGATCAGAATTAAGATGATGATTACCACCGTCTGAAGACAGACAGGGTACCGCAAGACGAAGAAGTGACAAATATATATTCGCAATTACTGCAAGGAAAAAGGTTCAGAATTTCACCAGATCTCATTCTAACATCCAGTATTTCCTGCACGGGTTTCTATGCTTAATTTAGCTATTTCTAAACCTACAGCATAGAGGTAAGGAAGATTTGACAATTTTTAAACTCAACTTTTGAAATACAAAGAAAAATGTTGATAAAGATGTGTAATGGAGTAGATTTCAAGATCGAGTGCATCAGTGATACCAATAACATCCCGCAGACGTATACACAACTGCAATTGGCAGTCGCAATTAGTTTTGCAAAACTCGACTTGCGGTCAATGGTCGACACGAATCGATAAGTCCTCGCAGTATTATCATATTTTGTCCATGTAATACATCCGAAAGGTCAATGAAAGGCCAAGAGTCCAGCGGAATATTAATGCGAATTCACTGTTTTGCGGGAGGCCGTTTTGGCAAACTTATTACCTGCAACTGATACCCGTAGCGATGTTAATATTCTGTAGAGCGGTCCTGCGTTTTCTGATGACAAATAAACACCGCCCACGACCAAACACAAAACGTGTACTTGGGAATACAACGAAACAGTTTACCAAATTTCTTGCTAGAACTTCGATCGATGCAACGAATAAAAGTAGCACGTTTTCTGAAAAAAAAAAAGACAGTAGTGATTTTATTTTGAATGTTACGTTTTCCACCATTCAGTTTTTTCTAAAATTGAACTGAGGCGGCGTTTACTTGATGAAAGTCCATTTAACACTTTAAATGAGAACAAACCGAGCTAAGATTTTTACAAACCATTTATTGGTGTATGAGAGCAGTTTGTGCATTACCCTAACTTTATCAAATACAAAAAAGGTTTTAAGGGATTATTAATTACAGTTATTGTAGGGTTTTTAAATTCTGTTTGAATAACAGGGATTACCAGCTCAATTTTAGTGTTTGTATGTATTCCATTGTCGATTGTACTTCTAGGTCCTTTCTTATAGTCCAGTCTCAGATTTTCTTAATTTTTGTGATTCCTATAACTGTTGATTTTATTTTTTGGTTAGTAGTCAATGTGTACGACCAACAACCAAATTGGTCATTATACTGTGTTGAAGACATTCATTTTTATTTTCGTTATTTTATTATATTGATTTAAAGTTTTTCCTATTCTAATTTTTTTTCCTGTTTTCCGTTGTTTTCTACTCCAAAACAATTAAAACTTGTGACCTGCGGTATCTATACATTATCCAATTTTATTTGTATTTCTTTGTGTTCATTTCCTATCACTATTACTTTTGTCTTAGAATGATTTAATTTCATTCCATAATCGTTGCGTTGGTTATGGTTATATTATTCTGTAAATATTTCTACTTCCTTGACGATTCTCATGTACTTAAAACCGACATTCAAGTTTCTTACCGTTGTAAAGTTGTTTATTATTTTATCAGTAAAGGTTGCGAATTGATTTGGTTGTCAATGGCTTTACATTATTTTCTTTGTATATGTTTCTGAGCATCCTAAACATTTCATTTTCGGTACCTTTCCAAACACTCCCTCCATGTCAATAAAGCCTAAATATATTTCATTATTTTGATCTATTGATTTTCCTGCTATTTGTTTAACTGAAAAAAATCTGTAATCCTGTACGCTTTTGTATACATTTTTATTTATTCCTCTGTATTGTCCATTATCTTCTTATTTTATTTCTTTTCTTCGTCCACCACCAGGCTGTTTGAGTCCATTGTGGTTTTCTCTACTACTTCGACAAACTTCTTTGGTAGTGTCTAGAAATGTGTTTTTCAAGTTATTGCTTAGTGTGTATATGTTGCCATTTTCCGTTTGGCGTTTTTTTTTGTTTTCAGTTTTACAATTATTTGTGATTTTCCTTGAGGTGTATTTCTTGGTACCTTATCAAACGCTTTATCCATGTTAACCGACAGATCAAGGCTAAATATGTTTGAAAGACGAACTATTTCTGGTGATGTGCTATGCGTTTGAAATATAAGGCCATTAAATTTTTATAAATTTATGCACTCATTCCCCATATTTGACAAAAATTTCTGGGCTGAGCCGTTAATTATAAAAATATATAATTCAAGCAAGACAATGGTCGTTTGCAGTAGGTAGGTTTCCAACCTACGCTGCCATAGTGAACCTGATTTCTAGTCAGACGCCGTAACAGACAGATCAAGGCTAAATCTGTTTGAAAAACGAACTATCTCTGTTGATGTGCCATGCGTTTGAAATATAAGGCCATTATATTTTTAGAAATTTATGCATTCATTCCCCATATTTGACAAAAATTTCTGAGCTGAGCTGTTAATTAAAAAAAATATAATTCAAGCAAAACAATTTTTGTTGCAGTAGGTAGGTTTCGAACCTACGCTGCCATAGAGAATCTGATTTCTCGTCAGACGCCTTAACCGACAGACCAAGGCTAAATCTGTTTGAAAGTCAAACTATTTCTGGTGATGTTCCATGTATTTGAAATTTAAGTTCATTATATTGCTCTAAATGTATGCACTCAATCCCCATATTTGACAAAATTTTATGGGCTGAGCTGCAAATTAAAAAAATTATATTTCAAGCAAAACCATGGTCGTTTGCAGAAAGTAGATTTCGAACCTATACTGCCATAGAGAATCTGATTTCTAGTCAGACGCCTTAACCGACAGACCAAGAATAAATCTGTTAGAAAGTCGAATTATTTCTCAAGATGTGCCATGCATTTGAAATATACGGACATTACATTTTCAGAATTTTGTGCACTCAATTCGCAAATTTGACATTTTCTGATATTAGGTTAGCTGTTAATTAAAAAAATATATGTTTAAGCAAAACAATGGTCGTTTGAAGTAGGTAGGTTTCGAACCTATGCTGCCATAGATAATCTGATTTCTAGTCAGGCGCCCTAACCGACAGACCAGAGCTAAATCTGTTTGAAGGTAGAACTATTTCTGGTGATCTTCGATGTATTTGAAATATAAGTTCATTATATTGTTATAAATTTATGCACTCAATCCCCATATTTGACAAAATTTTCTGGGCTGAGCTGCTAATTAAAAACAATATATTTTAAGCAAAACAATGGTCGTTTACAGTAAGTAGTTTTCGAACCTAAGCTGCCATAAAGAATCTGATTTCTATTCAGACAGCCTAAACGTAATTTGTTATCTTGATCTATTCCTTTTTCAGCTATGAGACTGTGTGGGTCTGTATACGTCTACCAGTTGATATATTTCCATTGTTGTACATACAAGAAGATTTATCCCTCTGTCTAGTCCATTATTATCTTCTTTTTCCCTGTTTTTTTTTTCTTTTTTTCATTTTAATCTGTTTTCCACCAATAGGCTGTTTGTTGTATACTTTTGTTTTTTCTACTACTTCCATAAATTTCCTTGGTAATTTCTAGAAGTGTTTTTCCATAATGTGTCTATGTTGTCATTTTCCATTTCGTTTTCTTTGTTTTAAAGTTTTTTATTTAATACTAAATTTGTGGTTTTCCTTGATATGTTGTGGATAAAGCTATATGTGTCTCATTCATCTAGTAAATTTGTGTATCTCTTTGTGTTGGCAGAATGTGTTAATTACCACCATATAATCCAATTTTTGAAAATTTGTATTTTTTCTCAACTCTGCGAATGAAATTTCCCAGAACTATTACTTTGCTTCTTGCTGCTTCTGTTGGTATTGTTAGTTGTTCCCAACACTCATTTATTAACCTCTGTGTCATCTTCATTGGGTCCACGCTTATCTTGGACACACTCTATATGGTTGCCAATAAGTGTACTTAATAATCCATTACCGCTTTTTATATTTATAAACGTCGGAAGATTGTAATGTTCTGCATTTGAGAAAGGAAAACAAATTTTGGAAAATTTCAAATCGATTGTTGTAATTTAACTTAAGAAAGTGTGTAAGAAACTGTAAATGTCAACAGGGGTCGTCTTTATCGTTGTTCTATGTACTTGAGCAAGCCTTAAGATTCAAATACGTTTTTTAAGTTTACTATAATAGTACTATAATTTATTACCTGTTTTTTTCATAGAACTTTAGTCAGATCTTACAAACAATTATGAGTGTTTTACAATTATAATAAAGTCGTAAAACTTAAGTAATTTATACCGGCGAATGTCTCCAAACAAAACACCTTGTACTCGATCACAACACAATACGCAATAACTACATCTAAAACTTATCGCCCGTGATAGGTTAACACACAATAGGCCATAATCGAGATTGCAGAACAATGTTTCGTCGAAATTAGTATCCACCGAAAATCTCTTATTTTATTCACGAGTGAAAAAAATAGCCCTTCATATTTCAATACTACGTAGACTATACCTGTGTATAAGGATGAAAACGCAGCGTTTTGTGCACCTGTTACCTAGAAAGAGGAAAATAAAATAAACTATTCGGATTAGTCATCCCATCAGTCTTTCCGTTTGTTTTGACTGGATAATTTTAACCCACCTGTCACGAAAGATTATTATCACACGCTTAACTTCTCTATTTAAAAAGAGTTTGATGGATTTTATTATTGCCGCAGGTTGAAAATAATTTAGACTGCGCCGTGAAGTATGACGTGAGATAAATTTTTTCGTCAGTCCGGATATCTTTCTGCGCGATAAAAAAAAATGGAAATAATAAATTGAATCAATAAATTAAATTAAACTGCGCACTACAATAAATATCGTTTAAGAAGTTACAAATTCCGAAATACATAAATTTAATCAAAACTTCTTATATACTGACTGAGGGGCTTTGATTTGTGGCAGATGACTTCCCTTTGAACCGAAATAAAACGCAAAATCTTTTAGTTTCCTCAAATGTTAATATAGACGACGAAAGATTGAATTGGTCTGCTCATTGCCATCCGCACTATTTGTGCTGCGAAAGCTTAAGCAATAGCTCTTCATCCTCAAGTTATGAGAAGTGTGGAACTTCGCTTTGTTTCACTGTAAAAGCAATTTTGCCAGTATTCGTATTTTGACTACCATCTACTTTGATATACAATAGCCTAATCGAGATTCACTCCAATAAATCAATCTTTTCTGTTCAGCCTGACACTCGACGCGGTCTTCATAAATCAATTAAAAATTCCTTGAACTTGAAAATTATCTTGTAATATAAAACGCCTTGACACTACTTACAATAACTTGTTTTTACAGTTCTGATAAATACCTAAATTTTACTAAGTCTACTTTTACAAATTTGTAAAATTATTTTATACTTTTATTCATATATATTTTATATTTTGTTTTGACTTACTGCACGTACCGTTTGTATACTGTAGTTAAATAAATAAACCTAAACCTAAACCTAAACGAAGGTTATAATTTGTTTTTATTTTCTCTTATGTGGTTATTTGCAAAACTTTTACTAAATTTTCCAAAAATTGCAATAGCAACGGATTACCTTAACCTACTTCTTACAATAAGGCAATAGGTACCCAACCAATTATCTGATATTAGATTGAGTTAAAACCTTATGTATTTTTATGTTAACAATAGGATCACTAAGATAATGTTCGAAATATCTTGAACAAATTTCTTTCTTCAATTATTTTGCAGTTACCGTATGTAACATTAAAAAGTTTTCATAATTTTTTCCACCACTTCTATGAAACTTCTAGTTCCTGACACTTAGTCAACATCC